TAAATTGTGAACGTCAACACAAAGTTGAAACCATTATGATACATGCTTACAAAGGGTTGTGGTGACCTTTTGATCTATGCTGAGTTTATATATATATATATATATATATATATACTGCTGAGTATATAAGATACCTCCATAACTACAAACCTTAGGTACACTATAACAATTACAGAAGTAATTTAGCATCGAATTATGAACTTTAATATTATGGTGGTCGGGAGGTAGATAATGAAGCCTTTTGTATGATACTGTCTGAAATGGGACTTACCGATTTTCCCAAAGACGGCTCATCCTACAGAAAAGTGATGTATTGCATAAATATGGACCTGATTAACATCTATATCTTTTATTTAAAATTATTTTGAAATGTTGCATATTTAACGAAATAGAAGGAAAAATAACCTGTCGCTCAGAAGTACGATTTTGTAATATGACTCGATTTGCGTAATTCGCGTGTTTGAGTGCGACGTAGGAAGAATCCTGAAAAGTTTTATTATTTAGAATTCATCGTCCTATATGACGAACACAGATTTTAATCATTTTAGAATGAAGACGTTATGGCATGCAGTACAATAGTTTAATGTTAAATTTGCCCCTGTGCTAAACTAATTAAGCATTACGCCATTATGACGTACGGGGGAGTAGATATATAGATCCACGTACTCTTGACCTCGGCACTAACTGGAGGTGAGTGGTCCCGGGGGGGGAAGAATTCCCGGTACTCATTGGATAGGAGGCTGGGTGGGCCCCGGAGCCGGTCAGGACGACGTGGAGAAGAGAAAATTCTTGATCTTACTGGGAATCGAACTCCGACCCCTCGGTCGTTCAGCCCATTACCAGTCCCTATACCGACTGGGCTACCCCGACTCCCGTGTAGAGTCTATTACAAAATATATTAAGCTATCAAGGAGCAAAACATTTCGAACAAATGTATTTCAGTAAAATCAGAATCATGCTAGCAGCCCGAGAGGTAGGCTACCAGAAGTACTCGTCGTGGGCTCGTTGCCACAGGATATGCGTCATCAAGGACTGGAGACGGTCAGGTGACGCATTTTTATCACATGCTCTGGTGTAACATAAGGAATGTTGTTCAGCCCTACTGTCGACCTGAAATTTCCAACCGTTTATGGCAAGTAAACAATCCAACATGTAAGTGTCTTACGCATCGCCTGTAAACTATCTCGCAAGGGTCTTTCACCTCAAATGAAAACATACCTCACCATATCCGATGTTGGAAACCTGCCGCTTATAATATCGAATGTGTATTCTTTGTGTCAACAAAATTCTGTGCACTGTTATCTCTCGCTCAAACTGTTCTCAGGCTGTCGAGGTGTCTCACACCACAGCACTGTGATCTGTGATTATTTCGTTCTGAACACAATGCATCTTATGGGTCTGATATATTAACATGGCCCACCATACATGCACTCCTCTTCCAAGTATACTTAAGTTTGATGAGTGTTCCGTGAAATTTGGCAAATTTAAATGGCTTTCGCGTTCATTTATTGCAAATACAAATGCAGTGTTCATGGTTTATGCTGACCGTCTTACAGTGTATACACTTTTTCACCTTATTCTTCACTTCCACACTACATGTTTCAGCACTAATGTGCCATCTTCAGGTGTCTTTGTGCACGTTAACTTTAGCTTTTTTATTGCTAGTGGGGTGGGACTAAGTCCCTTGTGCTGCAGCCACTTCTGACCTATTGTACCAGCCCCAGATGAAAGGTGAGGGTGATTGTGGAGCAATTGGTGGAATGAAGATTGGCAGGTGAAACCGAAGTACTCGGAGAAAACCTGCCCCAGCGCCACTTTGTCCACCACAAATCCCACTTGACCAGACCCTGGATCAAACCCGGGCCGCCGAGGTGGGAAGCGAGCGACTAACCGCTTGAGCTATGGCGCGGCCATAACTTTAGCTTAGTAGAGCCTACACTGCGGCATTTCATAATGTGTAAGTTCAAACGGATACATGTTTGTCTGGTTGAGCGACTTAAGTCTGAAAACCCCTATACGCGTTAAATGTTGAAGAGTTCGATCTTGTGCGATACAATTGCGTGCAATCAGCTGAAAGTCAACCGACTTGTCGCCTCCATCTTCCGGGTTGAAGAGTAAGCAAAGCGAGAAGCAACATGAAGCAGACTGCAAGCAAAGCTTTCCACTGCCTTTCATCTGATCACACGGCGCTACATCCCAGAATATAGAACCCTTCATAACCACGCATAGAGAACCTCAAATCTTACACATTAAATAGTACCTAAATTTTTTAATTTTTTTCTGGATGGCTACCAGTACAGAATTCGAACACATTTTATGTTTGAAGAAAGTCGTCTTCTGGGTTTTGGCGCCGTGTATTCTTCGTTTTGGCGCTTTCATCATAGTCATCGCCGTGAAAACCTCAAAACTTACATAGTGTTCCTCTATGGGGGGGCTACTCATCGACACATTCGTAGACTCGAGACACTGTGCACCCTTCCCTTCCTCCTTAGATGCAGAGACCATGGCATCATACCTCATTTCCTTCAGTTCCAGCACCACATTGACGCTGATCATTCTGAGCCCTTATTTATTTGGATGATTATAGATGAACGTGAAATTTATTTCTAATTAATTCTCGGTAATTTAAATTTCAAAAGTCTTATGTTTCGGTATTACTGGAAATGTATCGTGATCTATAATATCGTATTTCATCGTCTGGGACGTGCAATACGGTGTTTACGTTGAAAATTTCTAGATTCTGGCAGAAACAAGAAGTCCGGAGTTATAATATTTACGATCAGTCATAAATTTAGCTCGGGTACAGGGAACCGGACGCGCCTAAAAGGACAGGTCAGAGCTTGTTACAATTGTCTGTGAATGAGGGCCAGTATGATTGGGTTGCCTCGTTCAAGCTTCCCACGGAAGATGGGATGAAATGTATATATCAACACCATCTTTCGAATTCCCGGCGTGGGGGTGCAAGCCATTCCACAAAAAGGGGACTTTCACAATATTCCGAACTGAACGGACGTGACCCTTGCACGCTCCGGGACATAGCTTGCCGATAGTGTAACGCTGTAACTTAAAGCTAAGAATACATTAATTTAACAGTGTGGTGAATTAGCAGGTGAATAAACGTCAATTGGCTCAACTCTCAGAAAAACGCTTTCTTCGGCATCGCTACCCTGAGACCCATGCAAACCGACCCAGCTAGTTTCCCGTACCTATACCGATCTTCCTTAGTTTGATCTGTGAGAACAACTTGCAGTGGCCATCATACACTGTCCTAAGGTAGAAACAGGTGTAGCAGGGATAGCACCATTCCGACTGCGCCGATACAAGCAAAGGCGGGTTGGAAAAGAGCGGTGTTAACATAACCTCTGATGCTGCCGAAAGGATGTGCAGACGCACCACCTTCTCTATGCTACGTGAACGCACCCACTACACAAGGCGAGAACTGGACGCTGTCTCAAGAGAGCTGATTAAGTAAATTCCAAGCCAAAACGAAGAATACACGGCGCCAAAACCCAGAAGACGACTTTCTTCATAGTCATCGCCGTGAAAACCTCAAAACTTACATTTTATATTTATTTACGTGTTGACTGTAGTTGCCTATGAATCTTATTATTGATAAGGGAAACAAAGACCACGGCATATGTCACTGTAACACGTTTAGCTCAATAGTAAAGTGCTTTTTTTTTATTCAAGAGATGCCTGGTTGACATTGTTACATCAATATTTCTCCAGTTACCTCCAGAACTCCAGGATAGCTCACCGTAGTAAATGTTTCTTCCTCCCACACCCCTTTCAATATTCCCTTCAGAATCATCCTACAATTTCTGTATTCATTAAATAAAGTCGGCAATTGGCACAGTGTCATTAAATAACGAAGAAACAGTATTCAATTACACATTATTTGGAGCGAATAGAAATTAATGAAGATCCAGTCGTAAGTTAGCGATATAGTCATCAGCGGCTCGATCAATATGTTGGGATAATGGAGTAATGACGTTTGGCGTAATCCAGCTCATCCTAACCATGACACGCATTGAGAGAGTGGTTTCAGAATGTTTACTCTGTGGATAAATATAAACATTGTTACTACGTATGTATGTTATCACACGATTAAACTTGTTCGCCCAGACAGTTCTTCCAACCTCAATGTCTTCTTCATCTATCATGGATTATGCCCTTGACCTGTTCTAATTCAGAGTTCACTTCTGGAA